TAAAGGCTATTACATTATCATGGGCCAGAATATCGTCCTGGGGGAACCAGTCCGAAATAAAGACATTAGCAGGTTTTCCCGGCAGGTCGGTGTCCTCGAATTTCCACAACACTCGCTGTTTCAGTTGGGCGAAGGTGTCGATCAGTGCCTGACGTTTCTCCAGCGGAAGTGTTTTGCTCTTCAGATTGGAACCCATGGAGAAGTATATAACACCATGCTTGGCGCCCTCGATAAACTCCTGAATTTCCTTGGGCAGGGGTTGGCGCTTTCGGTTGATGTGCATACCGCCCACCTCAATCATATTGGGTGAGTAGGGTCGTGGAAAACTGAGCGATACATGTTGATTGAGCAATACCAAAGCCGTGTTCTTACGCATCTCGTAAAAGTCCTGCTTGTTGTTGGGGAAATATTTGCGGTACAGCAGTTCCTGACGCGGCAGTAGAAGTAGTTTAGGAAGATATATTCGTAGGTCAGGAAGGCCAGATTGCCCACTCGCTCTACGAGGGACATGTGGTCACCAAACTTGAGGAGGGCACTTGGAACATATGATGGCGGTGAAGGAGATCCAACCTTAAAGAATTCAAAAATATAAGTTAGTAACAACTCACAAAAACTTATTCAACGAATAACCCACCAGATCTGTGTTCCAGCTAATGGCGCCAAAAGTACCCAGCCTATAAGCGGGGCCTTGAAATGTTCTGCCAGTCCGAAATGGGCTTCGTTCAGGAAAACCTCGGATATAACAGCATCAAAGGTCTGGTTCGATTTCATAAGCTCCACCACAGAGGGTTCCGTTAGCAGCAGCTCGGTATTTCAATACCCATCTCATGGAAGTTAATAATCTGCTTTATAATGGGCTCCTTGGATGATTCCAGCAAGTTGGCCATTCTTCCTAAAAATTGTGTACCAAATAGTTTTTTACATAATACGCTATAACGTTGACATTTATCATATATATTGTGGCTGACGAAATAATTTATTTGATAACCTATTGCGATCAACAGTTATTACATTGTTATCAAATTCGTAACGAAAAAGAGATTAATGTATAAACCTTAAGTGGAGGAGTGGCCGACTTTTTTATATATAAACCTATGAGTTTTATGCAACTGGTTTTTGTTGTGAAAAGTTTTCTACTAAATAATACTTCATATAATTTTTTTTTTATTAGATAAAGTAAATATCTATATATACATATGTGTCACAGTAACACAAAAATAGAACTTGGTTTATCAACAAATGGTTTTCGTATAATTTGGACTTACATATTCTGAACCACTTTAACGTAACCTAACCGGTTTAGACCATAGGCCATACCCAACAACGTACTTAGTAATAATAACAAGATGTTTAGCCTACGAAAGCGAAATGAAGAAAACATTTTGTTTAGTATTACATGATTAAAGGCATTTGTGGACAGGCATACTAAAAATATTATGAATGAATGTCTTGTTGCTAAGAATTTATGTTGAAACTTGTAAAGAAATTTCTTTGATGAAAGTTGGAATTTATTATAATTCTTAAGTTAGAATTACTGGTATTTTGCACATTTTACATCAGATTGTATAATGGTCTAGCTAATTTGTTCAACTACTATAAGATATTATAAGGAATGTATAAAAATATTTCATTTACAAAGGTTATAATTACACTAGAATGACAGTCATTTCGGACTCATCAGATTGTGTAATACAGTAACCAATTAATAGATGAACTTACCTTGCATGGATGCCATAATGCTCTTGACCGTCACATCTTTGATGTTCTTGATGGGTTTCTTCAACTCGAAGGGGGAGACAATGGTGACCTGATGTCCGGCGCTGGCTAATCCCTTGGCCAGGGCAGATCCCACATGGTAATGGGACGGGCAGCGGTATGGAGGATCGCCAGGTAGTTGTAGGCAGACACGCAACTCAGCAGGCATAGCAGCAGCAGGGCTAGAAAACTCGTTTGGCCAGCTGTTGGTTTCATTTTCATTTATCGAAACTACCAATTCTAAACAATTAATTCAACTTAATCGTTGCCAGTTGTGAAATGCGTTCTTATCGACCAACGATCGAGTTCTATGTAGTTGCTATGGGGGTGCGGACGCCTTGGCGCCTCGGAATGAACTGAGCTGCCATGGGTTCGCGATGAGGTAATTATAAGCGGTTGGGCTAGGTTCCAATGACGTTTGAAGAGAGTGAGACTCCATATGTTTTTCTCTCAGTCAAGTATATCTCTAATGACCAGCAATAATATTTTCACGATCTCTCATCGTTACGTTGCCGAAAATGCTTGTCAATATTTCGTAGGCCTCTCACGATCAAGTATCTCCAAAACTCCGCATTATTCTCTCGCTCTCCACCGCCTCCATAATCAGTTCTGGTTATGGTGTTATTCTGTATTCTCGTTTCTTTTGTTTTGTTTACCGGCTTTATAGGGTTGGTATAATTTTGTTTTGTTTCTGGGTTTCTCTTCTCTTTCTGATGATTGCGGGCATTGAATCATGATTTAACAAAAATGCTTAGCTGATAACTAAGAACTGTATACATAAGAGGCACTCTGGGAAGTGATTCTCGCTTAGGGTGGACCTTTGTAAGTACAACAAACTATCTTAAAAATATTAAAAATGTTGAAATTTGAACTAAAAATATATAATTTTTTATCTTAACTATTAATTTGGTTGATTTAAGAACACTTTTTACATAATTTTTTTGATTTATAAAATTTTGATATTTTTTGTGTTTTCTAAAATAAAATGTATATGCTTTTTTAACAACATAGGAACACAAGAAAGTAAATGGTTTGTTTAATATAATTTTATTTGGTCTCTGCATGATTGACTTTTGATATTTAAACAGTTTTCAAGATATTTTAAGTTCGCATTATCGTATCATTATACTAAATTCATATTATAATCTTAACTTAGTTAGTTTTCTTTTTTAAACTTTTGGACTTGAAAGACTGCTTCTTACTTTATTTACCACAAATCGTAGTGTAAGCAAAAGAGAAATAAGAACTAGGATAAGGGCGGAAAAGAATGCGGCCAGGACATCCAGATTGAAGTACTGAATAAAGTTCAGATCCTGACAGGCACTTCTCAGGTACTTCGCTCCCTTTTGCCGAGTCACGTGCTCCACCCAGTAAACAGCGCGTTCCAGTGGCGTCTCCTTTTGATCCCTAAACTGATTGGACATGATCTTGGCTCGTTCTCGATAGCTGGGATCACTGGTAATGCGATCGATGGCGGATCGGAATAGAGAAGCAGTTAGTTGGGCGTATTTGACAGTGATTCCATAGCCCGATTGCTCAGCTCTCGCCATATTCATGAATTGATCACCAAAGAAGGGAATTCCCACGACAGGTTTGCCATGGTAAATCGATTCCATGGTGCTCAAAAGTCCTCCATGAGTTATAAAGGCAATCACTTTTTCGTGAGCCAAGGTATCATCCTGGGGGAACCACTTGGATACAAAAACATTTTCGGGCTTGTCCTCGAAAGTTTCCTCCTCGTATTTCCAAAGTACTCGGTACTTGAGATTCCTTAAAGTCTCCACAATGGCCTTACGCTTCTTCTTGGGTAAATCCTTGCTGTTCAGATTGGAGCCCAATGAGAAATAGATAACACCATGCTCGGCACCCTCGATGAATTCCCGAATATTCTTGGGCAGGGGCTTTGGGGCCTTTCGATTCACGTGCATACCGCCAACTTCGATCATATTTGGAGAGTAAGGACGCGGATTGCTAAGTGAAACATGATTGTTTAGCAGAACCAATGCAGTATTCCTGCGCATTTCATAAAAGTCCTGTTTGTTGTTGGGAAAATATTTCTTATACAGCGCCTCATGTCTAGGTAAATTAACCAAATTCTGGTAGATAAATTCGTAGACCTGGAATCCCAAGTTCTGGGCTCGCTCCCAAAAGTTCATGCGATCGCTGAACCGCAGTAAACTATGTGGCACATACGAGGCTGGTGATGGAGTGCCCACTAGATCAGAAGTCCATCCAGTGGCTCCCAAACTGCTGAATGTGATTAACGGAGCTCCAAAGTGTTCGGCAAATCCGTAGTGGGCATCGTTCATGAAGGTCTCACAGATGACTCCATCGAAGGTTCGATTTTGAGCAAGTAACTCCTGAACTGCCGGAGCCTTGAAAAGAGCATTGGTCAAATCCAATCCCATTGCACTTATTATTGGATACCGCCAAACCACCGATTTCTTGGCATTTTCCAGAATCCGCGCCTTGTGAACTATAGAATTGTAAAATATTAAGTTTTTTAGTAATTATAATTTTAAAAATATTTTAAAACCTCCCCCACTGGGATCTAAGCTTATCTCACATGTGTATCTTATCATATGACGTGAAACTTGTTCCTGACGATAAGCAATACGTGCCAGATCGGGAAAACCAATCTAATGAAAGGTTTGGACTCACCTCCCATTACGGTGATAATATTCGGCGTGTCTATATCGATTAGGTTCTTAACCGGTTTCTTCTGGGGAAATGGTGATATCAAAGTGACTTCATGACCCGCGGCAGCCAGACCTTTGGCCAACGCAAAACCAACTGTATGATGGGATTTCGATGCAGTATGGCTCACCATCAGGTAGGAATAACCCCATGTCTGGCCCAAAAAGGCCGCCAACAGAAAAAACCAAGTCGTGAGGAGCCCATGCATTGCGACAGCACTTTCTAAGTTCTAAGTAGACTGAAGAGAGTCTACTCTTTTCTCTGCTAGTTATAGTATTTGATAAGAAAAGTTTTGAGTGGATTATGAGATACGCTTGAAGTGGCTGCCTAAAAATGTACAATATACTAATTAAAAATATCCCAACATTGTCTTCATTCGTTTTTATTGGCTAACTTATACATATGGAAATACATACATATATTTAAAATTATACAAAATATTTAAATTTATTTATTGAAAATTTTATTAACAATATTAATGTTTAAGGCAATTCATCTGGACAGATAGTAATCCTTAAATATAATACTTTTCTTTTTGTTACTAACTAATGTTTGACTTTCTTTTAAATTTTGTTTGATAACGTAAAGCTAGTTCTCTTAAATATATCAGCTCTTTATTCCTATTCCGATTTTCTCTTAGCTCGAAAGCTTTAAGTTCAGTCAAACAAGTTTTGTTTGGGTAAACTCTCTCGAGAACTTAAGTGCTTAATTTAAATTCTGATTGATCAGCACATATTTTGCTCTTGACACTACACTACAAAGTGTCTGATACAAATAAATGTACAAAAATAAACACCTGTAGATAGCAACAATATGTAAGTTATCATTCAAGTGTAACAAATGCAAAAAATACGTTTTTATTTATATAACCAAATAACTCTATTTTAAGCTGTAGCTCATTCGACAGTCGACTTGACACACTTGATTTTGCACAATCAAAATTTTTGTTTGCCATTTGGCTTGCGACCATTCCATGCTGAGCCTCACGCAAAAGTAGAATTTCACAATAATCGAGTGTATATATACTCTGATATCTATATAAATTAATGCTGCGCTCGCCAAACATTCTCAGTGTGTTGTAGCAACGTGCTCAGTTCGGTTCGGTTATAAGTTCATCGATCGATTTTTATCACCATGCGTTTTTTACCTTGATCTTGGCGCTAATATTTAGCTTCGGTTACTGTAGTGGTTTTAATTTCCTAATGATTCTAATTCCGCCGGTCGTTCGCACTTTAATGTGGGCCATGCCTTGGCCAAGGGATTGGTCCAAGCTGGCCACGAGATCTCTGTGGTATCCGTTTATCCATTAAAGAAACCTATACCTCGTTATCACGACATAAATGTGCCAAATGTGATTAAAGTTATGGGGGGTGAGTACAAATATATATTGTTTCGTTTTAATTTAATCTAATTAATATATCTTATTTTCTTTAGGAGATATTGCTGCGCTCTGGGAATCCATTCAGAAACCACTAACTCAGAAGCTTATTGATCACTATCAAATGGGATTCCGCATCACAAGAGGACTTTTTGAGGACCCTAATTTCCAGGAACTTTTAAAGAGTAATCAAAGTTTGATGCGGTCATATGCGAGACCTTTTATAATGATGCTCACTATGGATTGGCAGAACATTTCAATGCCCCACTCATTGGATTGAGCACCGGTGGAGGTCTGACCTTCATCACAGATATGGTAAGTATAAATAATTTATTTAATAAGTAATAAAATGATGAATTTCACAACCAATTACAATTCTTTTAACAAAGTTATTTGAATTTCGAAAGCTTATATGTTTTGTGAATAATTTTTCTGCATTTCATTTATTAGTGTAATATATAATGTTTTTCTAATTTGTAATTTTTTTAATCTTTTTTTTATATTTTTACTTTTCAGGTTGGCTCTCCCGCTCCAGCTTCGTTTGTGCCCCACATAATGTTGCCCTTTAACGACCACATGTCGCTTTACGAACGCCTTTTAAACGTGGCTTTCTTGGCCTATGAAAGATTGCTACTGGACTATTATTATTTACCAGGACAAGAGCAACTCTACAAAGAGTTCTTTCCGGGAAACAAGAGGTGTTTCTACGAAATGCGTCGGAATGCCTCTCTGGTTCTCATCAATCAGCATGTATCACTGAGTTTCCCACGACCATATTCGCCCAACATGATTGAAGTGGGTGGCATGCATATCGATGGAAAGCTAAGCCCGCTTCCCGAGAAGATCGAGAGATTTATCAACGAGTCAGAACATGGAGCAATCTACTTCTCCATGGGTTCGAATCTCAAAGTAAGGATTTACCGCCAGCCAAGGTTCAAGAGATTCTAAGAGCATTTAGTGGACTGAAACAGCGGGTTCTATGGAAATTCGAGCTAGAGGATCTGCCCAATAAACCAGAAATGTCTACATCTCCGACTGGTTTCCACAGACTGATATATTAGCACATCCGAAGGTTTAGCCTTTGTAACCCACGGAGGAATGCTGAGTACCACGGAGTCCATTTATCATGGCAAACCCGTCATCGGATTGCCTATTTTTAGCGACCAGTTCTTCAATATGGCTCATGCCGAGCAAACTGGCTATGGCATAATGCTGGACTTCAAGACGCTGAATGCCAAAGAATTCCGGGAAGCTATCGAGAAGATTACCAGTGAGCCCTCATATACGAAAGTGGTCAGGGCATGTCCTTCCGATATCGGGATCAACAACAGAAGCCTCTGGAAAACGCCATTTATTGGGTGGAACATGTGACCCGTCATCAGGGAGCTGCTATTTGCAGAGTGCGGCCCAAAGACTGAATTGGTGGCAGTATCACAATGTGGACGTCCTCTGATAATATTTGGCGGGATGATCTTTTGTTATTGGACTACCTATTGCCTTATTGCGACTACTGAAGAAAGTATTATCTGGGGGAAAGAAAACTCAGGGCAGGAAAGTTAAACGTATTAGAAATGTATTCTCTACTTTTAAGTAAACAAGAATTCAGACATGGCATTTATAATGTTCAAGTTATTAAATTATAAAAATGAAGATGATAAAAATCCTAAAGTTCTTGTTAGATGTTCCTTATTGACCATTTTCATTAAAACGTAAATTAATTGGTACGCCTTACTTCTTTCCCCATTTTCGTTTTAAACGATTGCAAAACCTTTAAGACAATATAATCTCTGCAGATTGAGTTCACCCAATGTATTTAATTATCTCAAACAAACAGTTGTAATTGCCAAACATTTGAATTTCAACCCCCGTTCGCATTTCCATTGTCCTACATCCATTTCCGACGCCAAGAGCAAATTACTGCCTAACAGCATGCTGCACAAAATTGTTTTCATCTTTTCCACCCATCGCACAAACAATTGCTAACTCGCATCGAAAAGTTGAGATGTATTTTCATGGGCTGCCAAAAATACATTTCGCTCTTCTATTATTGGCCACGTTATCAATGCACACACGTGCCGGTCGCTGATTGATTTCGCTGGGAAACGAGAGGAAAATATAAACCAAACGTAAATGACAAAATCAAATTGGAAATGCAGACGATGGGGGACGAAAATTTAAATAGGCACTCGAGCATTAAATTAAGCAGCAACAACTTAGGTCGCGGAAAATCAGTCAAAAAGAGTGAGTCTGGATAGAAAAAACACAGGGAGTGCCACTGTACCAACCGCCCACTACCACGCCCACAAAAAAAAAAAAGAAAAGAAAGGAAACCGCTCCGAGGTGCAAAACGGCTGAAATGAAGGAAATGAAATGCCAAAAAGACAGAGTTCCCCTCGCGCAACACACACGAAAGCTTTTCCGAGTGTGCTAGTACACTGGGAATAAATATAAAAGCTTAAAAAAAATATTTTGATACAAAAAATTTGAAACTTAAAGATCGGTTTTGCTTTTTAGAATTTGTTTACATGTTAATGTTTTGTATTTCAAATCTATTATGACCATATAGCCAGAAAGAAAGGGGTTTAGCTAAACATAATGAACTTAGTTATTATTAGTTAACTTTTATACAGTATGCTGTAGGTCGCCCTGCATTTTAATAAATCCATTAAGGAAATTTAGCAAGCATCATAAGATCATTATTATTTTACAACATTTTCGATTTTCTAGTTACAATTCTTGCAACATTTTTTAGGTTAAACACTAGTTATATTTTTATTTTTGCTCTCTGGCGTATATTATTTACATTACAAATTTAATATTTTTCTCTCAGTATTCGAGTGTGTGCAATGACATTGAAAAGACACATTGAGCGAGAGGCAAAGCAAGTGAAGCAGGGAAAAATATGGAAAATATACGTAATGTGAGCCAAAAAGTTAGCTATGCACAAAAACTTTTTTGATGGCGCGCTGAAAGTGAAAAGTAAATTTACGCTAAAGTCGCCGAAATGCACAGTAAAGGGAAAATAAAAATTGAGAGTTGAGTGGGTTTTTCCAGACCAGGGTGGCTGGATGGCGGAAAAGCGGTGAGAGTAGCAGGGTGAACTTGCAAAAGAATATGAAATGGAAGAAAAAGCGAAATGAAACGGAAGTTCAAGTTGATTTGTTTGCAGGCAAAGTGGAATTTTCCCGCACTTTCTTTTTTTTTCCCTACCTCTCACACATTGACAGCCATTTTGCGGAAACGGAAGCTGCGTTTCAATCGCACTTCTGATGAAGTTAACAACAACACTGAAAACAGCAACAACAGATGGCTGCGAGGGCAAATAAATTTAGCATAACAATGCTGTGTAAATTTACGACGGTGTGTGTGTACCACACTGCGTATGCGTATTATGATTATGATTTTGATTCACGTATAATGGGCATACATTTTCAACATGTTAAAGCCTATTTTAGAGGGGTTTTATGTTAAGGAAAGGAAGAATAAAAATCAATCACAATAATTAAAATATAAATAATTGCTAGCATTTAGTACTGTATTATTTTCTGTAAATTAAGTAAATGGCTAATAAGAAGGCCACTTTCGACTGCATGGCACTTTCCCCTCAAGGGCAACCTTTATGGGAAAAACATTTTCTTTTCGCTGTTTTTTAAACATCTTGGGGCTATGATTCATGCATGTAATGTCTGCGGTCCTTAATGTCGCAGTATCGTAATTAAAAAGTGCACTGCGGCGCCATGGGCTTATTTTTTGTATTATTTTCTTTTTCGGGTTTCCCTGATATATCACACGTTTTCCAGCAGACCCCCCCCCCCCACTTCAGCATATGCAGAGATTGCGCTTGAAATGACAGTTGCACTTGCACCATGACAATGCGCCCGAAATGGAAAATGGGCCGGGAAATGGGGTGGGAAAATCAGACGGAGGGATGGTCAGAGGGGCTATGCAGCGGGGCAAATTGATTGCGATTGTTGAGTTGATTGGCAGGCGACACACACACACATATGTATATTCAACCATATATATATAGATTGACTGCATGCGACACTGGCAAACAAAAGCGCCGCTTTGTGGTTTTCATTGTTGATGCCTTTTTGGTCCTTTTTCGCAGCGCTCCTTTCTCCTTGTTAAACTCCTTTTTTTGCACCCATTTTTTTTTTGGTTGTCGTCGAAATTAAGTTCGTTTTGTCTTTTGATTTTTTGCTTTTGTCTTCTATTTTTGGCATTTTTAACACGCTCAATTTACAAGATGACAGATAGTTTAGTGCAAAGCTTAGACAAAGGAGTTACTCTTTGCTGTCTCACTTTATGTTCAAACTCTTTAATTATTTTTAATTAAATTTAAAAAAATTTAAATTTTGTCAAACAATCAAATATTAGTTTCAAACTTTAGGCCAGGCCCCAAGCCAAATGTTTTCAGTTGATGAAATTTTCATTTTCAAGCGCATTTAGTGCCATTTATTCTGTTTTTTTAGGGCATGAAATAAATTGATTAAATTTGCGCAGCTATTGGCAATGGTTTAAAACTTAATTATTGTCGCTGCCGGCAAACCAGAGGTGTAAAGAGTGGTGAGTAAATTTCAAAATTATGTGTCAAAAATTAAATTTTCATTTTAAAAGCAACCATTTTCGATTGGCGAACAACAAAAGCCATCAAATTAGTGTGCCGGCTCTTTGCCAAAACATTCAAGCTGCCAACTTCTTTCAGTTTCCTTTAAGCCCAGCAGCTATTGGTAGACATAAAGTAAAGTGGCGTTCTCTTTTTAAGTGTTCTTGCTTTTTTATTCGGCTGGACGGAGCTCTTTGAAATATTAAAATTAATAATAAATGTTGACGGCATTCATTTGTTGCTGCTGCTACACAAATATGAAGTCTTCATTATGGCCGACGCGTTTTTCGTTGTCTATTTTCTGAAACTCTGCCACTTTTACCATTTCTCCCACTTAAAATTGAGGCAAAAAATAGTACTTGTTGCAGGAAAAATTATGACATATTTTGTGATACAAATATACAATTTTTAAGTGCATTCCAAAACGTTCAAACAATTATGATATATTGGCTTAAATTGTGCTCTAATTCTCTATCTTTTGTTCAAGATTATCTTAAATATAAATTTAATTAGATTTTCCTATATTTGAATTTATTATATTATTGACATCTGAAATTGTTGATAAATACGTAAATTTTATTGGAAATGGCAGAAAAATAAACTGTTTAAAAATGTATTATAAAATAATTTATTTCAGTTTTTAGAGTTAGAGTTAATTCTCTATAAACTGTTTAAAAATCTATTATAAAAATTGTTGTTTAATTTATAGAGTAAGAGTTATTAGATTTGTTATACTAAATTGTTTATTTTATTGTGGCCGCGACTGTAAGCTTCTCTTTTCATCTGGTTGTGATTTTATTTCTTTCGGCCATTTGTGCAGTTGCTTTTCCTTTTTCGCATTTTCCCCGTTTTAACTCGCATTTGCTTCGTTTTTCTGCTAAATTAAATTTTATTTAACTGTTATGCATGAAATTGGTTACAATTTTTATTTTCATGCTATTTTGTCTGCACACACGCACACCCCCAAAATGGCCGCTAATATCTTTTTAAATTATTTAACAATTTTCGACTGCTATTCGCCGGTTGTTTTTGAGCTGCCAGAACAATCTAATTAGGCTGCGGAAGAAGAGGAGCGATAATAACGATGACGACGCCGATTTGTTTTATGCCAATTTACTTGGCAACATTTGTCGTTAATGCGACTGCCAAGAAATTTGGCACTGTCTCAAAAATGCGGAAATCGCGTCTGCTAGTCACAGTTCCAAAAACAGGCATAATTGGGCGAAAATACATAAATTAGGGGAATAGATTGGCCGAAGGAGAAAATGAAAATTTGTTATTTCCGCAGATAAGAATTAGTTTTCAGCTTTGATAAAAAATATTTTATAAATAAATAAATTTGCAACTTTAAAAGCGTCTGGAAAGACTTTTGCAACACTTGTTAGGAAAAACGTACTAACGCCTCTTGCTAATACGGTAATCTGCGGAATACTGATATAGAAAAAGGACTAACGCCTCTTGCCAAATGTGTAAATGCAACTCTGGCTTGCATGTGCATTAAAGTGCGGTAAAGATGGTAAATGCGTTTATTTACTGAATATAGTAACAAAATCGTGTGTGAAAGACATGGAAAAAGTGCGGACCAAGTGTACGAGTAAACGGCGGGCAATATATAATGAAATTACGTCAGTGGCGGTGCTTTAAGTGCCTGTTTTCTGATTGGACCGAGTGCAAGGACCTGGGCTCGCCTCAATTGGCAATTAAAGCGCATCAACATTAATGTCCGGCCGCCCTGACGATGATAATAATAATAATAATGATGATAACGAGACGACGGGCACGTATTTTCCCTTTGGCGAAAAGTGTCAGAGGGAAAATAAAAGCTGCACACAGGATTTTCTCGCAGGGCGCTGACATGTGGTCATTGTTGTTGCACTCTGACGTCAGATGGCAAATTAAAAAGCGCAAAGAAGAAGATGAAAATTCTTCTTCTTTTCAGTGGCAGGCAGCAGGAACAAAAACAACAATGCAATTTATGCACGACTTGCATATTAAACGTGTGTTAATTTTAGAGCAGTGCAGCAAGTCGTCAGCTGTCTCTGTCTCTCGCCCAGTTGGGTGTGTCAGGCTATCCGTCCCCCTCTCTCCCACAGGAAATGACAGGCTGCGGTCAACGCCATTTGCTTTTGTTGCTGGGAGGGAGCAGGATAAGTGGTGTGCCCTCGCTGATCTCTTTCTCCCTCTATCTCTGTTTCGGTCCCTCAGCCATGCAATTTTCCAGTTGAAAGGCTTAAAACTAAATTAAACTTTATGACTTGGCAAAGAGCAACAGGATTTGCGTCAACTACAAAAAGGATTACACGATGCCGCCCTCTTGGGAATCTCTGCTTTTCCTGGCCAACGCATATGAAGAGTAATGTCTCGGCTTTCCTTAAGGGGATCAATATATACTCTAAGGATACTCCAACGAAATAAAATGGAGAGGATAACTTTTGTTTTGAAAAACCCAGTCGGTAGGTTAGCATGTTTCTAATGTATAAATATTTTTAATTTTATTAGTTTTACGACCTAAGAACCCCAAAAAAGAAACCCTCAACAATAGGATTGTTTTTAAATAATTAAATATTGAGATAGTTCTTAGAATTCCTACTATTTAACTCTTATTTATGAACAAAAACTATATAGTAATATATTTAAAACTAGTTAAGATTGATTTGTCAAAAATACAAAATTCAGATTTTTGTCAAAAATTCAATTTTTTTCCGGTTTTTCCATCGTAGTTCAGCCAAATCAAGGCGTACAGCTAAAAGACCGACTGTTTTGAACAGCTGCTAAATATGCTAACAATCCTCATCACTTTTAGGAAAATTTATTTTTTGACCGATTTTCTCAATTTTTGTAGGGGTTATATCACTT